TATATATATATATATATATATATATATATATATGGAGAGATTGCTTCTGAAGCTACTCAAGTAGTTAGAGCTAATTTACAAAATGTAGATTAATCAGGGTATTTCACTAACAAGCTATTAACCTGCCCTTTGGGAGGGAAAACAGTTCCTCCCATCGTTATTGTCCCATATATCAGGAGCCACCAAGAGTAGATGCCTAAAAGGCCATAAAGGACATGGCCAAGAGCCAACATTCTCAGTGAATTTGTCAAGTTAATAAATTGCCATCATTCTCTTATTTTCTCACGTTTGAGTCTCCTGTAATGGCATCTGGACTTATCCTTGTCGACATCACTAGCAGTATGAGACACCCACAGAGTGCCCTAAGGGAGAGTCCTTGTCCAGGCTCCCCCTTCCCGCTGCATGGAGCGCTGCCTTAATTGGGCAGGGTCAGCTACTTTCCTCACCCATAATTTTCTCTGCATCCCAAGGGAAAATCCATTCCAGTGAATAGGCGCCCCATTCAAGACCAACTACATGTGGTGTTCGTCAGCCTAGGATCCAGCTTTGCCTGATGTCACAATGGCAAGTGAATGGATAAAGCTGGGCAAGCTCACTGAACAGTAATGATTTCTGGACCCAGTGCTTTTTTGTCATAGAACGCACCGGAATGGAGTTCCGGCACCTTGTTTCGACAGATTTTCCAAGTTTTAAAAGTAACTTTTGAACATTTGATGTTTGGTTCACATGGATTTGAATCACCCTGTCGAGCACAGCAGGTCGGTGGCAAAATAATTAAAACGGTGCATGCGGGCTGCTTGTGTGTCGAGTGCAATGCACGTGTGCTTCGTCCACACTGGGTGTGATGGTGCTGCTCGGCTTGTGATTACTCGTGTGGTCATGCGCTGAGTGCTTACTACGGGCGGTGACCGTTATGTTTCGTTACACAACTGACATGTGTGGGTGTGTGTACAGTGATTGACTATGTGCAAAAGGTAAATAATATCATGAGTTCTGGCATCTTTTTTCTTACAAAAAAAGCACTGTCTGGACCTATTTTGAAAAGAATTTGTACCCTCTTATCAACAGGCTATGGACACAGATTTCATGCTTATGGGCTTCCCAGAGGGATCTGGTAGCCAGAGTTCCTCCAATTTTCCTAGGCTAGCTGTTTAGATTGGCTTTTGGTTAATGGTCACTGTTCTTTCCAGTTGTGTCTTGGCTGCATTTATTATGAAAGGTTCAAATATGCTTAATTCAACTTTATATTGCATTTTAAGGGCTATCTCAAGAGCCCTTGTAGTGCTTGTAGATGAGCTATAAGTTTTCACATTAAATAACACAATACACTCAGACACTCTTCCAGACCATGCAAAATACAAGCTATAATCTGATCTACACAAGAAATTGTCATGTGTGAATAAGGCACACTACCAGAAAAGCAAAGCACACACCATGGTCCATGGAATCAGTGAAATCTTATGATACACCTTTAGAAGAACGGGATGACACAGACAGTTGGGGAAAGCTGCCTTTTGTAGGAAATGGAGATATGATTTTTATTTAAAGCTAGATTACTGTTTAGCAAGTTTGTGTGTAGTTAAGTGAAATGTGCTATATTAATGGGGGAAAGGCGTTTTATAGCTCTGGATCCAATTAAAGTGCAAACCGGATCTGTCCTTTGGAACATGATAATAAAAGTTTCAATTTAACATCTGTACCACTGTTACATCAAAGAACTGCACTGCACAGTCATTTGTAGGATACAGTGTTCTTTGACGCAACGGAGAGACCACATCTGCTTTTCATACCACAGAAGAGAAACGCAGCTCTGGTTTAATGGTAAGAAGATTCCCATTCTGTGTCTGCAGGTGATAAAACAGTAGATAGATGGCTTTAAAGAAAAAGAAGTCCTAAAACCATCAATGTTCTATTTTTTCCCCAATTTTGTGACCCTTGCCCTTTAAATAGAAAAAGATTTCCCTTTCTCACTGGATCAGGATATATGTGTCTATCCATGGATAAATATACATCTGTCTGTCTGTCTAGCTACCATTATTATAATGTAAGTGGCATTGCAGCCAATCATTCAAACTAAATTATAGAGACCAAAAATATAACTGAAAAGCAAACCCATTAATTGTTCTTTCTTCCAGCAATGCATACTTAATATAAGATTTAGTAGTCTAAATCAGCAGCAGACAGACTTCAAACTTACATGATCTGCTTTGGTATGTATGTACATAGGTATTTATTTAGTTAGTTATTTTGTTCCTGGCAATCTAACAACTAGAGACTAGTGCAAAATAGAGGCTCAGGGAGCAGATGCATCCTGATAGCCACTGTGGGATAGTGGTTAAGACCAACTAATTGGAACTCAGGTGATCTGGGTTCTAGTCCTCACTTAGCCATGGAGCCAACTGGGTGACTTGGGCCAATCATGGTTTCTCATTCCTGCCTCTCAGGATTGTTGCAGGGGGTGGGTAAGACTGAGAGCAGCAGGAGGAGAACGATGTAAACCACTTTGAATTCTTTAACAGATGGATACAAATCTAATAAATAAATAAACAATCCTCCAATCCACACTCTGAATGACATAGCAATGTGCTCCTGAGTCTATGCTCAGCCAATAAGTTCGGTTACAGTACCTTCTTCTACATGCAGAAGTAGCACTTCCCTGAAAACCCGACTGTTGGGAGACAAGCCACAAAGAAAGGGATATTAACTACATATCCCACTTGCCTGCTTCCTGGAGACAACTCTGAGAAACTGGCATCTTGACTAGGTAGTTGCTAGAGATGGGGCAGATGAGAATTTTATTTGCATTGGGCTTTGTTAAGAATTTACCAGAAGCTGCCATGTTTGCCAAATTCAGGATGAAAAATGAAATTTAAAAATATCATATGTGGCAGAAACCAAAGCCGACAGATGTCTTCATTTAGATCCAGAATTTTGCATTCTTAAGGCAGTATCCAATGAAATTGTCCAGCTGTGCTGCATGTTTTGTGGCAGTCATAGAAATAACTGCTGATGCATCAGGGCTTTAATGCTTCTAAAAATAACCCCAGAAATACTTGTTTCCAGATCAGAACAAGCCACTTTAGCCCCTTTCTGTGAGCTCTACTGATCTGGCCTGTTCCAGAAACAAGCATTTTCACTCACCTCAGCTTATTTTTAGAATCATTTATTCATTTTCAAATTTGTATGCTACTCAATAGACTGACAGGACTCTCTAAGCAGCTAACAGTATCAATATAGAGGTCACAGTACAAGTACAGAAAAAAGAGAGGATAAAATATACGAGCTTTAGCTCTTAAAAATCTGGGTTTGAATCCCTACATAGTCAATGAAGTTAATGCACAATTATAGTTACCTTGGCTTCTCTTTGGCAGTCCCCTTGTCTTTAGCAGCTATAAGACATGAAGGTACACCATGGTCCTTTTAATATACCTATTGCACTCGAACAGTGCTGATGGATAAGAATTCTGTATGGGTACGTTTTGGTAAGAATTTATCAGAACTTGCACATTTATGTGTGGGATGGAAATAATGGAAAATATTAAAGCTCCAAATGTGGGAGAAATCAAAATGGAGATCTATGTACATGCTTAACCTAGAGCTGTATTCAGGTCTCCAGGATGATAGGAAGGGATGCTATGGGCATCCACATAGCCTACCTACATTCTCTGAATACTTGTTATGTACTGCCAAGTCATCTCCAATTTATGATGACTCAATGAATTTAACCCTCCAAATTATTCTGTCCTTGATAGCCCTGCTCTGCTGTTGTAAATTCAGGGCTGTGGCTTCCTTTATGGAGTCAATCCATCTCATATTTTGTCTTTCTTTTCTTCTTCTGCCTTTGACTTTCCCTAGCAATACAAACTTCTCCAGTGCGTCTTGCCTTCTTATGATGTGCCCAAAATATGAGAGCCTCGGCCTTGTCAGTTTTGCCTAATTTGATCTAGAACCCACTTGTTCATCTTTCCATTACTCCAGGGTATGAAACATGGGCAAATAATATTTGAATAGGGCTTAGACCTGATCCATCATGGCTTTTCATACGTTCAAACATGTGCGTGGATCCTTGTATGAACTCAGAGGACTTTTTTCTTTTTGCCTTCCATTTATTGTGTAGCAGGATCATAGTTCAATCCTCCTCTGAACTAGTCAGAATGAAACATGCAGCATGACATTCAACTTTGGTCTCTCCCAGCAATGACAATGGCACAGTTTTGAGGCTGAAATAAGTACTCATCTGCGGCCTGGAGGCAATACACTATTGCACAAAAGCTACTGCTCTTCCCATCTCACGATAAAACAGAAAGCAAGTGGTCTTATCCTAGAAACTCTGGCTTTCGTTCCATGGCATTTATGGCAGCTAATCTTACATTGCTCCTTTGGTGGTCCATGAGCTGGTAATGGATCTCTGCATAGCTCACCCTTTAATGATCCACAATCAAGTTTGCAGCTGAACATTACGAGTGCATTGAACAGTGAGAGCTGTATCGATACAAAATGCAACCAACTGTACCTGGTGAATGAAGTGGAGGAGAACACATCAGCACTACGCCTTGACCTTCCCTCACCGACACGGCACTTCTCATCCGACCACTGAAATTTCCCAGGTCTGTTAACATAATACAACAATTTAGATTCATGGAAAGAAAGTTCTTGATATTAGTGTCTGTACAGCTTTCTCTTCATCTCCTTTCTGTCTTCCCTCTCTCTCTTATGCTAAAAAGATTGATGTTCATTTTTATTCTTGAATTTAAAAGAAAATGTCCAATCCTTTCACGATAAATCTATTCTGGCTGATTTCAGCTGGAACATAGAAATATTTTCTGCCTTACATCAACACCTTTTTATTGCTTCTTATAGGATATGGAAATGGTGTCAGCAAGAAGGCATTAGGTGATATGTAACAGACATTTAATAGCTCTTTTATTCCTTTTTACTATTTCCTGCTTATTGATTCCTTGCCCAGTAAAAGTCATTCTGTGCAGAGTGAAAAGAAATATAATGGGGGCAGAGGATGCATTGCATCTACCCTGCATCCTGTGTGAGGCTCTTGGGTGTCATCAAAGAGATACTGCAAACAAGGCAATATTGAATTGTTTGGAGCAAGTTTAGCAGTATTGGATCTATTGGGAAATCTAATCTATAGTTCCTAGATGCACTGTATTAATATGATTAAATGTTTATAAATAACTCACTATGTACAAAATGCCTCGCAGTGTTTGTCCTCAAAATAACCCTGTGTGCCCACTAATCATTTCATTGCAAAGCAATTGACTCTCTGTTCCTGAACCTAAGCATGCTGATGGAGACACAGGGTGGGGCAGTGAGAGCACTTAGAAAGAGAAAAATCATATATAGTCCCTTGGCAATGACAATTGGTTGTATTAGAATTGGTTAATGAGTAAAATTATGTCTTATTGATCTGCAGAGATTGTGCACTTAAGAGATACCTGCAAATTATCCAGTATTCAGCTGAGATGGATATTTCCTTTCACAGGGCAAATATATATTCTGTTGGTATTATTCATCAAACCCTACCTAGTTCCATGTTCACAGGAGTTTACCACCTACCTAGTCACATCTCGCCTCTGTTTCACTCAGTATGTCTATATTGACTGCGAGGAACTCTCCAGGTTTTTGAGACAGGTGGCTTTTTCAACCCAACCCTTAGAAACTAAGGGCTGACTTGGAACACATTAAGCCAGAGTGCTTCCCACTAGGTTCTCCTACTCAACAGAGCTGTAGGTTGCAGCAACACAACTTCTATGGACTGAAAGCTTCTCAGTAAGCCCTTCCTCATTCATTCATTCATTCATTCATTCATTCATTCATTGCATTTGTATGCTGCTCCATAGTCAGAGGCTCTCTGAGTAGTTCAGTGCACAAGAAGGCCCCAAATTACCCCTTGGTATTGCTACCTAAAAAGGGTGAGGTTCTAATTCAGAGTACAGAAAACTGGACTAGATGGCCTCCCTCTCTTTCTTATTGGAAAACATGCCTAGTTTGGCAGTAACTTTGAAGTGAGTGGGGGGGTGATTGGAAATTTAATATCTAGGCGAGAACTTGTGGGATCTTATGCTATGGATGTGAATATGTTGGTTTTGGTTTCTCTCTTTCTCTCCCATTAGAAGTAAGATGAATTGCCTGCCTTTTTAATTCATGTGTTTGTTTGGGTGAGGGGAGGTGGGCATTGGCCTTTGTATTTCTGTGGCCAATTGAATTCCTACTTGCTACCTTCTGAAATGAAAAAAGATACAAATGTAATATAATGCACTTAGTACAATATAATGAATGAATGATACTGTTCGTCTCTCTTAAAACAATACAATCACATCAGAACTCACCCATTCACAAAGCAACACTTTATGGCTTACTCCTGTAATCCTTGTCTCCAACTGAAATTGAGTGTGTATTGTAACATTCATTTCTTTTCGAAGGGATGCACTAATATTAGGGAAGAGTGAATGAGTAATATTTAAGCTTCTTGGGATTCTCTGAATATATGCTCACTCTTCATCTCTCCTCAGTTTGTACTTATGATCAAATGGGAAAAGTGCACCAAAGAAATAGCGCTTGACCAGTTGTTCCTGTCTTCCATTGGGATACTCAGAAGCACTGCATGTGGGTGAGGGAAGCGTGCAGGGAGACTGAGTGTTTGAAAGTATGTTTGAAAGACCTGATTCACGTTTCTAAGGGAAAGGTAGAAATCTCACGTGGAAGTCATAACAGAGTAGAAGGTAGCAGCTGCTCTGAAGAAGTGATGGGTTCACTAGGATTTTCCTCCATCCCCTACAGCTGTTTGTAACAAGGTGGCCACTTAGCCATCACACACACACACACACCATCCTACACTTTAAAAATAGGGCAAAAGAGGACAGGGACTTGCACATAATTTACCTATGCTAAGCTATATGCATAGATGCAGATTTAGAAATAACTGTAATTTAAATGGTCATACAACCATCTCATCATGGTGGGTGCAGGTGGAGATTGCCTTCAGATAACCTCACCCTCCTTCACCATCTCGATTTCAAGATTCCCCTTTTCCCAGCCATCACCAAGTTCCTCTGAAGAGTCGATGCAGCCCTGATCCTGGACAAGAACAACTGCCTCTTTCATTCACCATGTTGAACCTGGTAGGGAAGGCCTCTCTGGTCTTTGAAACAGCTGCCACAATCTCCTACTCTGAATAGGCGGTCTCAGCCCGCAGTAGGATGCAGAGAAGGGAAGTGTATGTGCGAGGAGAATCAAGGTGGGAATCACTCCCCAGGTAAGAATTCGAACATCTGCTTTTATCCCTTCCTTTCAGGACTGCACCATTTGTTCCTGTTATTTTCTGCACTGTCAAGATGTTGACTGTGATCACCTTGTGGCAGGATTTTTTTTTCTTTTGGACTTATTATTTCACAAGAAGTATGCACAGGTATTGTATTAATACTAAAAACAATAAAAGAATAATGTTCAAGGATGCTTTTGCAAATAAATAACTCTCAGTGAAATTAAACTTCATTGATGGCAAGCACATATATTTGAGAAGGGACATAGGTAAGTAACATGGGAAAACAGTGGGAAATAAATGATTTTTTTTCTCCCGCTAGTTGGAAAGAGGGCAGGAGCAGTAGGACGTCCATCTTCTTCTCTTTGTGAAGAAAGAAATTAGACTGAGTTTTCCAGGTGAAACCATTTACAGCATTTAAGAACAAAAAAACTCAGAACCCCTTACAGGGTTTTACAAATATGCCAGTATGTAAGACTGTGTGACTGAATGCATTGCAGAAGGGGAAAAAAGGACCACATGGATCAGAAAATTGGGAGAGTCAGAAGAAAACAGGCCCTGCTTTAAGTATGAAATCCATTTGATAAGAATAATGTGGTTGGTTCTTGCAGTGCTGAGCCAGGTGAAGTGCCCATAGAGATCTACATGCACATGCACATTTCTGCTTGCATAAATGACCAGGTACAGTGATCAAGTCACCCAAGCACTAATACAGCAGATTGCTTCATTGTGTAGTCCTTATATTTATATGGAAAACCTCTCCCCACTGCAATCCTCATCTGAAGCCCTTCTTCCTGTTCCTCCCCAGAGTTTGCAAGGAGGAGAGCTTGTTTTAGCATAGCACCCACACTCTGGAACTCAATTCCATTCGAGGTACAGTTGGCACATACTCTTCTGGCCTTTAGGTACCAAGTAAAGACATATCTGTTCCACAGATATTTTGATCAAGTGACCTCTTGATTTTTAATTGATGTTTTCATCCTATTTTTATGCCAATGTGCTGCTGACAGGTTGTTTTCATGCTAAATTTTGATATGATTAATTTTAATGCTTGTACTTTTGGGGTTATACACATATATTAGAAGGCCAGATACTGAAGATGAAACTCAAATACTTGTGCCACCTAATGAAAAGGAACAACTCACTGGAGAAGACCCTGATTATGGAAATGATTGATGGCAAAAGGAGAAGGGGATGGCAGACAATGTGGTGGCTAGATGGGGTCACTGGGGCAGTGGGTATGAACTTGGGTGGACTCCAAGGGATGCTGGAGGACAGGAGACCCTGGAGGAATGTCGTCCATGGGGTCATGATGGGTCAGGCACAACTTTGCAATGAACAACAACAACATATATTGTATTATTTTATTTTGTTTATCTTGGTTTTTATAAAAAACTAATTTTTATAGTTTTTAATGATTTTATTGTTATTAGTTTTGATGGTGTACTGTCATGTGTGTTTTGTAATGTTTATGTCATAATGGATGTCACTAATGTATGCTGAGAGCCTATGGCTAGTGGGGCAGTGTATAAATCAACTAAATAAATAAATATGCCACTTTTTTCTCTTTAAAGAACTCAGAGCAGCTTATATCATTCTCTTCCTGCTGCTCTCAGTCTTATCCACACAACAGCAAACCTGTGAGGTGGGTTGGGCTGACAGTCTGCAACTGGTCCAAAGTCAGCCAGGCTAAGAGGGGATTAGAACCCTGATCACACAAGTCCCAAACTCATGCTCTTAACCACTACACCACACTGTCTCTCAGATGTAAATAGACCTTCTCTTGAGGTTCCTCACACTATGTTCTCTGCAAAAGCTTTGTAGAATGAAATAGCACAGTCTGTCATGAGACTAGACCTGGGACTTCAGAGAAAGAACAATCTATGAGGCTCAGTCCTCCACATTTTTAGAAGAAATCCATTAAACTCTTCCAAGAAATCAATTCAACATCAGTGCTTGAATCTTCTATGTGCATGAGGATGGTAATCACAAAGGTTTTGAACGCAGTAAACTGATGATAGAGAATCATCCATTTTGTTTTTCTCTGGTCACTTGCTTCTGAAAAGGATCTTTATCCTCTAGCTCACATTTTTAGGTATAACAAAATGAGTACAACATAGTTAATCTTAATTCTCTTTTCTGTTTCTCATTGTGTGCTGATCTTTTCATAAATGGTTTTCTTTCTCAGGTCTTTTGTAAAATAATGATATAGCATTCCATCCCCCCCAAACACCCATTAACAATGTTAAGTATTTCAAAATAAAAATAAAAGGCGGGAAAAGGAAAAAAGAAAGGAAAAAAAAAAAGAATAAATGTACAATTTTCAGTGCCTG